CCCGTGTCCAGGTGGATCCAGTCCCTCGGCGGGATGCACAGCTTGGTGTTCAAAGGGTAGGCTGGATTTCAGCCATTCCTTAGCCCTTTGGCACTTTGGGTCCTGAAGTTGGTGAAAGCCAGAGCAGCCCAGTTCCTACTGTGGGACCTTGGACAAATTCCTGCCCCTCTCTAGCCTCAATTTCCCCATCTGTTAGACCAAGAGGCTGGGTGAATGATATAATATACCAGGATCCCATGAGTGGCTGTCAACTTTGTACAGCTATCAGAGTAGTCCAGGTGGAGACAAGGCCTTCAGGAAACACCTGGGGAGTTTCCATTATGGGAGGAGAGAAGGGTCTGGTCTCCTACCCTCTTGCTGTCTCTAACCTGGGACTCAGCATCTGATTGGGCCTTCCCTCCCTCTCCCAGTGACCACCTCCCAGCTGGCCGCCGAGTCTGATTTCATCATCGTGTCCTGCTCCTTAACGCCTGCAACCAAGGGGCTCTGCAACAGCGCCTTCTTCCAGCAAATGAAGAAAACAGCCGTGTTTGTCAACATCAGCAGGTATCCTGGGGCTGCCTGACTCCCATGGGTCACTGGGTAAGCCTACAGAGGGGCTGTCCCTGCTGCTGTAATCTGAGGTTTTTCTTCCCCATGGGTTGTCAATGAGACCTCAGGCTGAGTTTGGCAGTCTCCACAAACCAACCAGCCAGCTAACTCAAATACATACAGTAAAACGCCCAGGCTGGGAGGAGAAGCTGTGAGAGCAGGACCTGGTGTGTCTGGTTTCCAGCAGTCACTCCAGCCTTGCTCAGGGCTGGCCACATTGCATTGTTGGTTCAGTAAATGGAGGCATGATGGCAGCAAGTTCCCAGGTAACCTTGGGTAGCCCCTGTTCCTCTGTACTGCAGAGGGTCAAATGTCACTGTCTTACAGCCCTTCAGAGGCCACTTTCCATTGTGTTGAGCCTGGGTTTGTCTGTGTGAGTCAGTGACAGCTTGAACCTTCATGCTTCTGAGAAGACAGACCTAAAACTCGGGCTGTCTTGGTTCTTCAGAATGTCCCGAGGTTGCCTTCAGGCCACTGGGCATGTGTTGGGGGCTGACCTTCCTCTATCCCTCTAACCCCTTCCTAACTGGTATCCTTAGAACCTGCTTAAATCAGTTTGGAGGCAAACAAAGGTGAGGGAAGGGGTTGGATGAAGTCACCCCTAGGGCTCTCCACCCCAGAGGCTCCCGCAATTACTAATGTTTAGCTACAAAGGAGGTATCTGGAGGTGGCATGAACACAGGGCTCATACTGATGGCCTACAGTGTCACAGCTTCCATTTACAGAACACCCACTCGGACCCAGTATTGTGCAGGATGCTGTGTTATTTATGACTGCATGAGTATTATTTAGTGCACGATATGAAGTCTCTAGCAAATCAGTTCTTGAGTCATAGGAAGGAAGACTGCTTACTCAGATGGGTATAGTTAGGTATATCCTCGTGTCTCTACCCTCGATTGGGCAGGTGACTAATGGCACCCTGCAGTGGTTCTTAGCAGGTGGTCTGGGGACTCACTAGATCAGAAACACCTGGATGGGGCCCTATACAAATGCAGACTTCCGGGTCCTGTTCATGCAGTAGTGCATGTCAGTACTCCTGGGAGTTAGGTGGTATTTCCCTGTCTTACGGAAGAGGAACCTGAGACAGAGAATTTGAGACACTTGTTCAAGGTCACACAGCTAGAAAGTGGCAGGGCTGGGCTTCTCTGATTGTAAGACCTGAATTACTATACAGACATAGACAAGTATATATAAAATTTTCCGCTTTAGAAGCCAAGGTTGGTGGGAAAATTCATTCTTTGGGTTGTTCTGCCCTAAAGGGTAGAGAGAAGGAGCCTGGGTTGAGGGAGCTTCGGGGCACCCATATCACCGCTGTCATTCCCAGGGGAGAAGTGGTAAACCAGGATGACCTGTACCAGGCCTTGACTAGCAGCCAGATTGCAGCTGCTGGACTGGACGTGACGACCCCAGAACCATTGCCCACAAACCACCCTCTCCTGACCCTGAAGAACTGTGGTAAGAACTGTGCTTTCCCAACTCAGTTATCTCCCATAACCGACAGGACCACAGTAGTAGGTGATCTGGAGGTGCTGTGTGTGAAGCTGCTACGAACAGTACGAAACACAAAGGGACCATAAATGTTTATGCTGTTAGTGGCACTGGTACATAACGACATAGGGGAGGGACCTCCTGAGCATGCTCGCCTAGGTCTGTATCCTTAAAGGAGTGAATGGAGGTGGGGGTGGGGGTGGGGGTTAGATGAGTGGGTTTGTTTAAAAAGAGTGGGTTGACTGTGTGTCTTATGTTCATAGCTAGTCACAGGTAACAGGTAAAACCCATACTGTAAATTGCTGTTGTCAGTTTGTGAGAAGTCACATATGTAATTTACAATACCTATTTGTAACTTGTGCCCATTATTAAGCTCGTCTCCAAACCTACCCTTGTGTATTCTGCTTTATGGTGCAGCGGCTGGGACTCTGCACGCCCCGTTACTGCTGGGCCCTGTCAGTATGGACGCCGGAGGCAGCCCGACAGGCTGGAGGGAGCAGACTTGGCTCCCTCCTGCCTTCCTGTCTGCGAGAGGCATGCAGCAGCTTCTTCACTAACAGTAGCAGTTCCTTCCTGTAGTGGCTGGGGAATCGTTTGCAGTTTTCCCAGCACTCGGTTAACCATTGTGCCCCCTCAGACACAAGCCACCGCCAGTCAGTGCCCCAGCCGCAGAGGTCTGAGTTGCAGAGGCCCTTCCTTCAGTCTTCTAAGTGTTAACAATCCCATCCTTTGCCTCTGTCCCCCTAGTCCTAGGGAGATAGATGCTTCCTCACAGAGTCACTGTCTCTGTCACACCTTAGTGCAGGGTTTCTTCAACTGTTATGTTCCAGTTACTTGGAAGGACTGATCAAACACAGGTTACTGGGCCCCCAAGGGTTTCTGCTTCAATAGATCGGGGTTGAGGGGACCTGAGAATGTTTGCTTCTAACTAACATGCTCCCACGCCAGTGCTGCTGGGCCTGGGACCATGCTTTGAGTAGTGTCGCCTTAGTGTTCTCTTTTTAGCCTCCTCAGTTACCTTGTTAACAGTTCTTTATATTTAAGTTCTGTCTGTTCAGGTGGCTGGATGGTTTCTGTCCCTAGACTGATACAAAGCCTGAGTGGCAAGGGCCTTAGGGCCCTTGTCTAGGCCAGTCCGTTCTTTATTTATATTCTGGAATAGAAAGCCAAAGAGAAGGTCCTTAGCTGCCTTCCCCAGTGAATGCTCCCATTATTGTAGCCCTTGGGAACTCTACCATCCCCACCCCTCTGCCAGCTGAAAAGGAATATTGGCTGCGCTGTCTAGCCTGTGTCCACAGCCTAGAAAACTGCCCCATCCCCCCAGGGCCTTGGAGTTCAGCTCAGTGCTCCAGGGAATGGCTTTTGAAAGGCACTCTTTGGGAACAAGTGGCCTCACTTGCTGTGCAGTGGGGCCACAGTGTGCTGTCCAGTATTTCATCTTGTCATTGTTTCTGTAGATCAGAAGCCCTGCGGTATCACTTTCAGGGAGCACAGGGTGTGGATGAGCAGTGAAATTGGCACCATTCACTATCTGATAACCAAAGAGTTGGATTCTAGATAAGCTCCAAGACCCCTTCTAGGTCAACATTCTTGTATTTAGGGGACATATCCCTCGTCACTCTTGTGTCTAGTTGTCAGTAACCTGGATTCCCTTTACTCTTACTCTAGCCCTCGGCCTGAGGGGAGTGGAGTGCTTAGTGACAGTAGAAGAAAAGGCAAATCAAGGAATATTGAGGCAGGCTGCCTCTGCTCTTACTGGCAAGCCCTAGCCATGAAAGCAGTGACTGCTTTAAGGCTCGTGACCCACCCTCTTACTTCGCTCTCTTCCTCTTCTTTCCAGTGATCCTGCCCCACATCGGCAGTGCCACCTATGGAACCCGAAACACCATGTCCTTGTTAGCAGCTAACAACTTGCTGGCTGGCCTGAGAGGGGAGCCAATGCCCAGTGAATTCAAGCTGTAGCCAGATGAGACCGCGAGGGCCAGGAATCAAACTGGCCCAGGGTGCTGTCAGGTGCTGCAGGTGCTTGATTTGGACCCACAGGACGGGAGCTAAGGAAAAGTTCGACCTCTTCTGATTCCGTGGAGGGAAGATTGGTGCTGATAGATGTGCTTGCCACTTTTGTGGTTGGAAACATCTGAGCCAAAAGCATGTAATTCTATTAAATAATTCTCTGAGAGACTGTGTTGGCCTGTAACTGGCAGAAGCTAATGACAAGAGCATCTGCTTTACCTTTTCTAAATCAGGGCATCTAGTGACCTGCAGGTTCAGCTTCCCATCTCAGTCCTTAAACCTCTAGCATTTTAATTATTAGAACCATCCGAACCACTTTACCCCTCATCTGCTGCTCAAATTCCTTCACGTGTCTGTCACTGAGAACAGGACAACCACACCCCATTCACGAACATGGCATTTGAATCTGCAACCTAGATCATCAGGGCAAATTAAATATTCATGGCAAAGAGAACCAGGTAAGAATAACTAGAAGTAGGTGACTTTCTTAATTTTTATTTTAAAATTAGGTTCAGCACCTTCACACTTTGCTCCCTTTGCCTATCTCAGCCTCATCCCTACCTCCAGGTGGATGCCCTTTTTCGAATCACCTCATTCCTCCCCAAGGCCCAGGCCCCCAGCACCACCGCAGCCCTACTCCTGCCGGAAGAGTCAGGTTCCAGCTCTTCCCCACAGCCAAGCCAAACTTGCAGGTGGAGTTTTCAGCCTGGGAGGCAAGGAAGGGACCAGCAGAAAGCACAAGATTAAGCAGGTGCTCCAAGAGTAAAACTAGGAGGACTGAGAACAAAACCTCACACATGTCCATGACAGAAAGAGAGCAGGCAGGGCAGAAAGGACTCAACAGAAGGGAATGACCGATAATCGTTTCTGACAGTACACAATATTTTCCAGGTTTGATTTAAAAAAAATACTGGTCAAAGCAGCATTAGCAAAGAAAGCAATATTACTTCCCTTTTTTGGCATCTAGTGACCTGCAGGTTCAGCTTCCCATCTCAGTCCTTAAACCTCTAGCATTTTAATTATTAGAACCATCCGAACCACTTTACCCCTCATCTGCTGCTCAAATTCCTTCAAATAACATTAATAACCTAAGCAAAGAAAAAGAACACATATTTAGTTAGAGGCATGAATGTTAACAATTTTTTTATTTCAAAATCTCAAATTGTGACCAGCATAGCACCACTGACATGGGTGCTGATAGAACTTTACGATTTAATCACCAGAAATGATTATGCCAGGCTATAATTAAGGCTAACCAATCAAAATCCAGGTACCCAATACGAGTTATAATTCAGGTAGAAACTATGGATCACAGGAACCCTGGGACTGGTTTTTCAGGGAACCTCTGAATTATCTTTTAAGTACTACATAGCTTGTATGAGGACACTGGCCCGCAAGCTTGCTTCTCACACACAGAAACGGATTGACTAAGAGGTAGATGAGCAATTCTAGATTCCATGTAGTAGAGGAGAGGCAGGGCTCCAGCCACTGTATTGGAGATAGGCCCCCAAGCAAAGTCCACTTGAGCCCAAGCTGAGGTGAGGGTTCAGCCTCTTAGCACCACCTCCTCAAGATGGAAGGGAAGAAGGGCTGCCACTGCTCTTCCCGGTGTCACTGGCTCCTGTCCCCAGGTAGGGCCTCTTATTGTCCATGCCGACCCA